TTTTAATTTGTACACAATTGTTAATATACATACCCCAAATCTAAAAAGTCATGGTTGGTAATTTTTTTAAACATTTATTCTAGTGACTTTCTAGCTTAAAAGTTGGAGGCAAATTTTCCTTAAGAGGCTATCAAGTACCAGTATCTTCAAATTTTGATAAGCTTTTACTCAAGTCCCACCAATTAACAATTTAATAGCATATATACTATATAATCAAAATTTCAATCTTTCTTAGCACAGTAACAAAATTATTAGGAAAATAGGACTACCAAGACCAATGATGTTGCAGAATGCACACAATTCTGACAGGGAAAGCCATGATCAAGGAGTGGTTTTCCTTAGGAAACAATTCTACTGAAAAACAGTAAAACAATAAAAAGTAATTTAAAATGTTCAAGATATTAAATGAGTGACCATGGATCCATATTGCCATTTAGTATAATTTGTATTACAGGAAATAAAAACTAACTGCCATCTATGGAATGTTACACTCACACCCAAGACAATCAAGGCCTCCCATAATTCAATATCCCACACTAATTTGTGGTTGTACCAAAAGATAAACAATCAACTAGTGATTTTACCTCTTAAAAGAAGCCTTTACACTTAAAAAATGGGATGAGGTAGGATTCCTTCCTTTTTAAAAATGTTTCTAACTACTAAAAAACTTACATTTATGAAATTGTTAACAAAAATATTTCTCTGGATTGTAAAAGAAGGGACACAGAGACCTCTGATAAGACATGGTATGTGATATTAATCAGTTTGGCTTCTTTCTCTCCTGTTTCATCAGATCTGGATGCCGCTTGGTTTTAGCTTTTCTATTTCCTGCAGTAAATCATCTTTAGTTTCGCAGTTAGACACTTAGACATGTTTTCCCTTTGCCCCCCTTTCCCTTTTGTTTGCATTTTTTTAATCTAAAGATTTATACTTTCCTGCTGCCTTTTTTTGGGCTTTGTTTCCATTTTTGCAGAAGCAGATTTAACTGACAACTCTGCTGATCCCTTCTTGGTCTCTTCCTTCACCACTCCTTTTGCTGAACTGATATTTTTTCTTGGGCATCTTGGTGGCAGGAGGGTATATGCTAGGTAACTCTGGGGCTGCTGTGTGCAGAGAGATTTTGCAGAGCTGGACTGCCTAGCTAATTTTTTAAAAAAAATTTTGTAGAGATGGGGTCTTGCTATATTGCTCAGGTTGGTCTTGAACTCCTGTCCTCAAGTGATCCTCCCACCTTGGCCTCCTAAAATGCTAGGATTACAGACATGAGCCACTGCACCCAAACTTCTCGTTAGTGCTTTGATGTCTGTAGGGTCTGTAATGATATTCCTGATATTATTAATTTGTATGTTCTCTCATTCATTGTGTGTTCTTATTCATTCATAGTCTTGCTAGAAATTTCCCAATATTATTAATCTTTTCAAAAAACCAGATGTCTTTAAATAATATTCCCTTCTGTTTTTCAGGTTTTAATTTTATTGATTTCTGCTTTTATGCTTATCATTCCCTTACTTCTAATTGCTTTGGCTTTATTTTGCTCTTCTTTTTCTAGGTTTTTGAGGTAAGAGCTTAAATTATTGATTTAAGACTTTTTTCTGATATGTACATTTAGGGCCATAAATCTCTCTCTTAGCACTGCTTTACGTGTGTTCCAGAAATTTTAATATGTTGTATTTAACTTTTTTTTTTTTTTGAGATACGGTCTCACTCTGTAGACTTGGCTAGAGTACAGTGGCATTATCATATCTCACAGTAACCTCCAACTCCTGGACTTAAGTGATTTTCTTGCCTCAGCCTCCCAAGTAGCTAGGACTACAGGTGTGCATCACCACACCCAGCTAATTTTTTATTTTTTGTAGAGACAGGGTCTTGCTATTGCCCAGGCTTGTCCCAAACTTCTTGCCTTAAGCATTCTTACCTCCTCAGCCTCCCAAAGTGCTAGTATTATGGGCATGAGCCACCACACCTGGTATTTAACATTTTAACATTTATTTAGTATTTAACATTTTATTTAGTTCAATGTATAGTTTTATCTCCTTTGTGACTTCCTCTTTGAATCATGGATTATTTAGAAGTGTGTCTTTTACTTTCCAAGTATTTATATGTTTGGGGATTTTCCTGTTACATCTCTGTTATTGATTTCTAGTTTTATTCCATTATGACCAAAGAACATACTCTGCACAATTTCAACCCTTTTACATTTGTTGAGGCCTGTTTTATGAATGAAAATGTGGTCATGAAGGTGTATGTTTCAAGGGATGGTGAAAAGAATGTCTATTCTGCTGTTGTTTGGTGGAATGCTTCATAAATGTTGAACAGCTCCTGTTTGATGGTGTTGCTGAGTTCTTTTATATTCTTATATTGATTTCTCTGTATAGTTGGTCTACTAACTGTTGAGAGAGGAGTGTTTAAATCTCCAACTACAATAATCAACTTGTCTATTTCTTTTTAAAATTTTATTGGTTTTTGCTTAAATACTTTGTAGCTTTGTTGTTTGGTGCATTAACATGTAGTATTGCTGTGTCTTTTTCATGAATTGTCCATTTTTATCATTATGTAATGCTGCTTTCTGTCTCTGGTAATTTTCTTTGCTCTGAATTATATTTTATCTGATATTAATACATCTACACCTATTTCCTTTCTTTTTTTTTTCTTTTTTTTTGACCCCACCCCTACCTATTTCCTTTCAATTAATGTTTTACATAATATATCTTTTTCTATACTTTTATTTTCAACTTAACTATATCATTATATTTGCAGATGTAAGTAACAGATGAATAAACTTTGGTGTGGTTTCTAAGCAGATTTCAGGGATGATCTCAGAGTACAGGTTGATATAGATTTTAATGCAAACTTAGCTTTTCATAAGTACAAATTTCTGTTATTGATTTCTAGTCTTATTCTAGGTATGACATATTCATTGCATTAATGATCCCTGTTGCCTACTGTATCCATGCCCTTTGACGGTGCTGTCCCACACTAATTCTGAGCTTGTCTTCATGAATTTCTTTGGCCAATGGAATAGTGGCAAACATGATACGAGTAGAAGTTTACAAATGTACTTGAATGATTTTTCTTCCTCTCTTGGAACTCTGATATTGTCATTAAAACAAGCCTGTGTAGTTTGCTGGAGAAGAGGCCACAGGAAGCAAAAACATCTTCCCAATCATACTAGAATAGCTCACTTAACCTCTATGCCTTCAGCTGACTCCAAACATATGAAGGAACTCAAACAGGAGCAGCTAAGTCCAACCTAGATAAACAAAATAGTCCAAGTGATATGTAGACCCATAAGAAATAAGCTGTTTTTGTCTTAAACTTCTGATTTTCAGGATGATTTGTTACACAGACATAACTAACTGCTACATGAATCAAAGTTTCAAAAATAGAGAAAAGAGGCTATTTAGAGGCCTTTAAGCATTTTGGCCACCCCTTGCTACTTTCACAATTAGTTCACTGAAACTATTAGGCAGCTATGGTTTTGGCTTTGTATTCTTAGTTTCAGATCCACATAGTCAGGGCTAGATAGACAGACACAAATTCAGCTGAATCTTCCTGAGAGGAGAAGAGGAACAAATATACCTGTGGAAAAGACACTGGGGAAATAAATGGCCTAGGACATTGCATGAGTACTTTCTTCAGTAGGCCCCTCAGGGCTCAGTTTTAAGAAATGTCATTAGCTACTTCAGATTAAAAATATCTTAAGAATATTTTTTCCCAGTAAAATGTGAAGGCAAGATAACTTAATTAGGAGGCTCAGCCTTTTTTTTTTTTTTTTTTTTTTTAAGTGCCTAAGTTGTTCTATAGCAATGGATAATCCTCATTGAGGTATAAGGCTGAAAATACCTGGTCACAGGAACTTGTGGATGCTATCTCACTAGATAGAAACTATATTAAGTTTAGTACTGAAGTGAATGAAAATTAAAAGGTTTTGAGTATATTTAAAAAGCACCTCAAATAAGACCAAGAAATTGAGACTGTCTCTATCGCAAATTTCTATCTTTGCAAGAAGCAGCATACACATCAGGATGCACTAGATTATGCTATAGTAACAAATAGCCCTCAAACCTCAGTGGCTCTTAACACAACTGTCTTTCTTTCACTTGCCACATGTCCAATATGAGTTGGAGAGCCTCTTCTCACTGCAGTATTTCAGGGACAGAGGCTCACACACGCTCCACCTTAACACTTGCTTCCATAGCCACTAAGGCAAAAAGAAACAATTGAAAAAGAATACAAGAGCAAATGTGGAGAATTGCACACTGGCTCTTAAAGCTATCACATGAAAGAAACATATGGCACTTCCATTCACATTCACTGGCATAAGAAAGTTACCCAGATGAGGGAAATACAATCTTTGTGTTTGCCTAGAAGGAGTGGGAAGCATAGTCCCCATACTTACCTTTTTAAAATGGTAAAATGTTTTTTAAGTATTCTTTTGAGGGTAGATAATATTTAAACACTAAGATTTTTTATATTTTGCCACTTAAAATAATGCTGCTGTGATTACACTGATAGAGATCAGACACGCCCAAAATATGGCACCTTGGCATTTGAGACAATGCAGAAGCAGGAAGGTCACTCTGACCTTCTCCCACCCTTCTTCCTTGCAGGCCATAAAACCTAGGAAGGTCATTCTCCGACACTCTCCCCTGAAGACCTTCATGTGACATATGTCCTGTCCTATAACCAAAGGGAATGCCAAAGAGAATATGAGCAAACAGGCCTTCCTAAGTTCCTCCCAGTTTATCACTATTAGATACTACCCTTTTGTCTTCCAATCATACTTCTGTAAGAATATCCTTAAAAAGATGTAGTTTTCCCTGTTCCTTTGGGTCTGCGTTTCTGAAGGCTCTCGTGTAATATAAAACTCCTATTACATAAATTGTTGCTTTTCTTTTGTCAGTCTGTCTTTTGTTATAGGGGTTTCAGCCATGGACCTTGTGATGGGAGAGGAAAATCTATCACTTTTTCTCTTCCATGTTTTTTGGCCCCCAATGCAGGGTGGCTGAGACACCCCGCTTGTTCTGGAGCCTGCATATGAAATCCAGGGACAACTGACAACATGCTGGCAGAAAGGCGGGAATTTTTACCAGGATCAGCTCTTCTGGATCTCTGTCTGTATTACCCTGTAGAGAATGGAAGGTATTTTTTTTTTTTTTCTTGTCTCTTCCTTTCCAACTTCAAATTAGCAGGAGAAAAACATTCAAATTTTTTTGAGTAGTGACTCTTGTCTCCTACTTTGTGGGACCCCTTTGCATATGCATGTAATAAATTTGTATGTCTCTTTTCCTGTTAATCTGTCTACTGTCAAGTTAATTCCAGAGACTCAAATTATCAAACCTTCAGAAAATAGAGGGGAAGTTTAAAATTTCCCTGCAGAGACTACCATGATGTAAGAAGCACCAGTCATTATCTGTTTTCAAACACAAAAATTGAGCATAGAAAGGCTAAAATTTGATCTTTATTGTCAGTAGAAAAGTAATTTATTTTATTGAATAAACAACTATATTGTGATTATTATGTGCCAGATATATTACAACCCTATGAAATATGTATTATTTTTACCCCTGTTAGGTAGATAGCTAGGGATTCCAGGTCTCCTAGGGATGAAAGTGGGTGCTGTTGCCCCCATCGTGGTCCTGCCCCCTCCTAATTCTCCATACCTGGGGGAGGAGGGAATACCCTATGAATCTGCCAATCAGATTCTTGGTGCACCAGCTGCAAAACAATGCAGAGGACTCTCTAGCCCACAAGCCTAACAACATGGGTTCCATAAAGTCTGGAAAGTGACCCAGAGCCCATAAGCCTAGTTAAGGCTCAGGTCATGCAACTCCCAACTGTCCAATCAAAGTGGTTCCATGGTGACCTCTAAACCATGAGGGAGGCCTGTATCCAGGCACTATAAAACAAGACGCAGACCATAAACAATTTGTCTCTTTGTGCCCTTCCTTTGGTTCTCCCTTTGCTGTGACAGTGGGTCCGGTCATCATCTGTGGCGTGTGTTCCATGCTCTGTAAACCTATATATTGCTCTTTCCCTCTAATCCTATCTTTCTCCCCTTAATAAACCTCATTGTCATGCTTGCCTAACTTTGGCGTGTCTGGTCATTCTTCGGCTATGAGCGCACCAAGAACTGGTATTTCAAACTGAAACCTGGCATCCCATTTTAAGATGAGAAAACTGAGCCTCAGTGAAGGTAAATAACTATCTCAAGTCATACAGTCTGCCTCCAGAGGCTGTATTTTTCACCACTCTGTAAAGCTAGGACAAAGAACAAAAGACTCTAACTTGTGGGGTTAATCTTCTTTCTAGTAAACTAGGTAAGTGCACATTCAGTTATCCAATGAGTAACTGAAGCCATATTCTCATTTCTGTCCAATGTGCTCTTGGGGAGAAAAAAATATCACTTCCTTCTATCTCTCTAGGTTCTTTGGCTGGTCTATAAATTAAATGAGCATAAGACAGATCAGCAGGAGAAAAACAATTTTAATTGTATGTGCATGCAAGGGAGTCCCACAAAAATATGAGACTCAAAGAAGCAACTAGATGACTGAGGCTTATATATCACCCTGAGCTCCAGAGAGGAATGGGTGTTTGGGGATTTTCAGTGGTGATGGAGACAAATTCTGGGGGGTGCTAGGAAAGGCATGGTTAAGATGAGATGGCCTAAAGCATCTTACACAAAAGCAAAGTTTGTTACATAGATTTAAGTTGATGCCTTTTCTATTAATTGAGAGTCTCTAGTGATTTAGTCATTTTCTTCCTTCTGCAGAGAGGAAGACATGCTTACAAATGAAGATTTCCTCTATAGATGTTAATTTCTCTTACAAAAGGTAACTTTTTTCCTGAACTCCTGTATCTGAAAATAATCAACATGCCAAAGAGACATAATTAGTGTGGCATAGTCTGGTCTCCTACAGTCTATTTTGAGATGTCATGTTCTGAACCCCATCAGTCCCTGCTCTATCAATTTTTTATCAGGTGTTCTTACAAATCATACTCTTCACACTATCTGCTGCTTGTTTTGTAAGTGACTTCGCCACATAAGAAAAACAAAATCAATTCCTGTAAGGAGCTGAAACTACTGGTACATGAAATGATAAAGTACTGAAAATTTATGCTGGAGGTCATATTTTTTAAAGGATACATTTATTAAAGCAGGATTAATTGCTTGGCTGCTTCAAAGAGATAAAAAGGAAACCAAATACAAATGTGGTCAGGCTAAAAGGGATGGGAAGATCCTTAGGCACTCTCTCCTTTAGGGAGTGGGAGGACCACACCAATCCTATTCTCATCTTTCTGCTTGTTCACAAGTGGTATGAGGGCAAGGATGACCCTTTGTCAACCAAGAGAGTGAAATAGTGCCTTAACACTACATTATTTAATAGACTGTGAAATAAGGTAGATATAATCATTCAGCCATTCCCCCCCCACATCTACTGTAATCTGAATTTGATTGCTGCAACTATACAGCATCAACTAACTTTGCTATGACTAATGTAAGAAAAGGAGCCACGAACTTATAAAAATTGTCCTCCATTCCTATCCTATTAAAGAATTATGCTAAAATGTTTGATCATTTCAAGTTTCTTTAAAATATCTAATTTTTAGGTTTTTCTGACTTTAAAAGTTCAGACAAAACAGAACATGATGTAAGATGTCAATGTTTGTAATAGAGGTATCAATATTTTTATTAGTATACCCTCTTCTCAATATTTACTTTTTCTGCATAATGAATTCAAGCATTTCTTTAACCAGAACTTTTAAGCTGCTTGCTTACGAGAACTGCAACATATGGTTTTCCTCTTCCACTTTTTAATATTTTGGTCTCCAGTGAATCCGCATGCAAAAGCTTTCTTCCTTTAGCTGGATTCCACAAATGAAAGGCTTTTCTTTTTCTGATTGTAGATTAGCTTGCCAAGAAACAAACACGAGCTGGAGAACATCACTTTAATTTATTGATGGGATACAGATGACACGGAAGTCTGTCCTCTTCTAGGCTTTTGGGAACGCTTTAGGCTGACCCAGCACAGCTGAGTTCATACGGCAAAGACAGACTTTGCCAAAAACTGAAGCCAATAGTCATTGCAAATCTCTGAACCAAAACATTCCTTTAGTGCTTGAATTTCCCTATAATTTGTGTAGATTCCCGTTTTGTCAATGAAGCTAGCAGTGGATAACTAGCTTAGTGCAATCAGACAAAACAACTGTCCCATTCATTCAGTAATTAGATGATAGCTGTACTGTATGCTTTATGGTTTCCGTTCTTCATTCTTTCCTTTCTTTTCAAATCCTTGGAGACAAACTCTGGGATGTTTGGCAAAGCAGAGGTTCTTGTTGAAAAATATCCTGTCTTTTCTACTTCTGGGTTGCTAATAAGTTCTATTCTCAGAGGCAAAATATTAGATGCACATAGCAAGGGAGGATCAGCCACGTTAAAATAAAAGTTTGGTTATGTATATTACCTTTTGCCTCACTTTACAGTTTTGCTTTACCCCCCACACTGAAGAAGGTTTTTACTCTTCTTAATAGCTAACAGCATGTAGACATATTCGATACGCAAGCTAAATGCTTATAGCAGATCTTGCATAAATTACTTTTTAAACTTTCAGAAGTAAAAATTTTACGAGAAGTAAAGCAGAGACAAAAAGATAGGGAAAATAAATGGAGAGGAAGGCCGTGTGATTAGAGTTAATCTGCTCTGAAGAGCACATGGCAGATTAAATTACTGCTTGTGAAACTGGGCTAAGAACTGCGTGCTAATACTTTTCCTACTTTCTTTTCCAGACTGTTTTTGTATCTGAAACCATTAGAAGAGAAGGGAGAGAAAGCTTCAAGAAAACAGTAATACCATCTCAGACGTGTCATCTGCACAAAGTTGGTATTGTTTGCTGCCTGCACTAAAGATTGGTCTTGGAAGGGGTTTTGGTTGCAACCAACACAGACTAAGCTAGTTGAAGGAAAAGGAGGACATTTTGGGCTGCTCTATCTAAACATGGAAGGTGGGAGTGGAGCTGTCTTTAGGAATGTCTAGAATCAAGGACCTGGGTCCTTATCTGGATTCTTTCTCTTCCCCTTCTCTGTTTCTCCTTTAACTTGACTGTTTGTTTTATTTTTTTTTCTCCTTGAATCACCTGGAACCACAGCTAGAAATATGGATAATGAACTTTTCAGCTTTAATTACGGCTCTGAAACAAAAAATTTGAAAAAGACTACTTTCTTCTCAAACTCAGGATTACCCAGGAAAGTACTGTGAATTGCCTGGCTTAGGGACACGTCCCTTTTCTTGAAACAATCATTCTGGACATTGAGATGAGACATTATAACTGGCCCAGCCTAAGTTACACACGGATCTGTGACCCTGGGGTGAAGGGCATGGACTGTATATCCAGAATAAGGGAAGGAGGACAAAGCAAATAAAAATAAGAGCCATTAGGAATTTCTGTCTCTGTTCCTCAGTTTATCCACTTAAAAATAGTATTTGCTATTTGAGAATGCCATGTGTTGGGATTCTTCCCTGAAAATATAGTGTAACTTAATATATCAAGTAGATTTTAGTTGTAACATTGGGGAGGCAGGGGGTGGTCAATTGAATTGCAAAGGAAATGGTGTTTATAGTCCTTGGTTAAATGCAAGAGCACAAGAAAATTTTATAATTATTGAGGTTAAGCTCCCTTTCTACTCTAAGGAACACTTGAAGGCTTTTTTCCCCCCTCTAAGTATTAACCGATGGGAAAGTAGTACTTAGAGTACATTACTGTTAAATAACAGTCTAATTTTTCTCATTATTAAAGTGGAAAACAAGTTGGCCTGAAGGTTAGTTACAGTGTGCAAGGTGGAAAGGGGGTACCTAAAACTATCACTTTGCTCTGGAGCAGGAGTTGGCAAATTTTTTCTATAAATGATCAGATAATAAGTGCTTTTGGCTTTGTGAGGCATATAGTCTCTACTGCAACTATCCAACTCTGCTCTTGAAGTGGGAAAGCATCCATAGGCACTATGCAAATGAATGGGTGTGGTTATGTTCCAATAAAACTTTATTTACAAATATAGGGTATGGGCAGTAGTTTGTTGATCCTGACATTTATAATGTATGTCAAAGGGGTATATTTGCATTTGTGTTAGCATTTACAAGTGTTTTAAAGCAACCTAAGAGTAAGATTTATAGAAACAGTTTGATCAGAAGATTGGCTATTCAATATAGTGAATAGAAGTTTAAAATGGTAACTTTTGGGTAAAAATATAACCACAATTAAACTATTCCCAATTAAACTATTGAAAAGTACTTCCAGATGCACTGCTTGTTTTATGTTAAAAAGTTTTTCAAGAATTAACATAGCCTTGAGTGAAATTCAAATCAAATACAAACCTTTGGCATCAAATATAAATTTTACAGGATGTGAGCATACCTAAATTTTTCTACCTGTTTTACTTCTGGGACAAAATGGTTAATGGCAACATACTGTGAGCAAATTTGTTCTTTTATTTGTAATGCTTTTAGTCATGTGAGTGTACCATTATTATTTGACATTTGAAAGATATCTCAATTGAAACATGAAATTGTCATGTTCATACATTTTATGAACTAAAAAAATTAGGACTTTTTCAAGCAGAGGATTATATTTACAATATAACATTCAATATTTCCATTATATCCCTTTATATTTAGGCATTTATTAGGTAGTTATAAAAAATCACTTTGTGACAAATCTTGATGTACTTCTTCAATGTGATGATTAATTATATCAAATAAGAAAATGTATTTTCCAGGTTTCACTAATTTTAAGATGTACTTTTTTTAAAGTTTAACCTCTCTGCAGTCAGGTTCTTCTAATGATGGGAGACATCTTACAAATTGCTGTCTGCCAGGTTGCAGTCATGAAAAATTGTAATTACCTGCATGAAATTGGTCTGAAACCCCTCCCATGGAAATTTATGGTAAGATACAGAAAGTCAGCATGAATATTTACTTTATTTATATAAAGTTGGTATGAGGATCAGGGTCACATCAGCCTTGATGTCCCAAAGGAGAGTCTCGTGTGGAAAGTCATAGGCATCAGTGATGCTCGAACAAAATTCGATTTAGAAGAATAAGCTCTAAATGCAAAGTTGTTTGGAAATACCTTTACTGATTTATTTATTTTGCTAATATATTCCCTTTTATATAAACATAAGAGTAATATACAATAAAATATACATCTGAAGAAGTCTAAAAGAGTTCTTCTAATAAGTATAAAATATTCTACATGATAAAAAAGCATTGTGTCATGGTTTAATTGGAAGCACCTTTTGTTTTAGTAGTGTATGAGATAGTGCTTCCTATAATTAATTACATGTTAGATGTGATGATATAAAGTAATATATACATATATTTTAAAATTAATAAATGCCAATTTTATTTCTTATACTTAAGTGATAATAATTATGTTAAACCACTTTATTGCTCCTATTAAAGAAAATGCAGTTTGTTAACTACAAAAAGTATAGCAAGTACAGCATTTAGTACTCACTGAACTCTCACTGACTCTAAAGCACAACTTGAAAAGATCCATCTTGAATGCTTAATTTCAGTACACTGAATTCAAGAACAAATGCACATTTACAAGTATCAAGGCAAAATTATGATTATCAAGATGACTGTCAGCCTCAATATCACCTTCATGTTTTCTTTTCAATGTTTTTGATGTTTTAATTGTAAGTAGTTTATGATGACATCATTTTACTGTCAATAAGAATAGTTTTGGACCCAATTAATGATAGGTTAATTGGAACACTTTGAACTGCAGGTGCAACAATACGGATGATTTTATATATATATGTAAGCTACTATTGTCATTGTACCTAGAATGACATATTTTGGAAAATAATTATTGTCAGTATCTACTACTTTAGCTGAAACAGATGTGAATTCTTGGGTTGGTGTGCCTGGGGTGGGAATACTTGGTCTGCTAGAGACCAAACCTACAGTTACCTAAAGAACTCTTTCCCTTTCCTCAGAGAAAGATAACTTTTTTGTAAGGACTTAAATATACAGTTTTCCACAGATAAGCACTATGTGTCACATGGCTATTTAGGCCCAAAATATGGTTTAATTAATGCCAAAATCAATGACATTTTTGCCCTGAAATATCTAGTAAATACTCTTTTGGGAGGAGAGGTAAAATTTAGGTCAAAGCAATACTGGATTGATAGGCAATCACACATGAACAACATCAGCAGTGGTTTCTTTAATGATGTTTGACTACATTTTTGCATGATATGGAATGTGGTCACGTATTGGAAGAAATACACCAAAATCAGATTATAACTTTTGTCTCCTAGTCTCTGATTGCAATATTTTTCAGGATTTGTGTTCATCTGTGCATGTTTTGGCATGTCTTTGGCGGACACCATCTTAGCAGATTTGATGATAGCTGGTGATCATACTTCTTTTGCTAAATCACCCACATTAATGTTATTGTCATGATTTCAATGTGGTTTTTCCTACCTCTACTATATTGGCAAGAAAGCTGTTGGTCTGCGACATAGTCCTTATAGTAATTTAATACATTTCTATCTAAAAATGTAAATAAACATTTATATTTTTGTGATTTAATTTTTATTTTAATAACTTTTAGGAGGTAATGTGAACTATCTGGGAGTCATATTACTTTAATAAATTGAGGAATTTGTTCCTGTTTTGGCAACAGAAAAACTAGCTTTAACTTTTTATGCTGTAAATGGATTATATATATATAATTCTTTTGTATAAGGATCAAGAAATTTGATGAAATTGGTATCTGGAAGTGGGATTATATTATACAAGTAACAAATGGTAGCAGTGCCTTTGTAACTAGAAGATGGGTATAGGCTGAAAGAATTTTGGGGAGCATGACGAATTCAACTGGATCTGCTGTTTGAAGCCAACACCTGAAGTCTTCCTGAAAAATCACAGAAATCCTATGAACTGGGATTTGAGGCAGTGGTATGTCCCTTGCAATAATGTATGATCCAAGATGGTGTCTGAGTAAGACTAAGATGAGAATAATTAAAAGATATTAACAGTTAAAAGAATCTATCCTAATAGTGAGATATAAAGTTTTACTCAAATATTGTTTCAGATTTTAAAAAGTTTTGGAGAATTTCTCCCCCCTAATATTTTTTGCTTTTTTCCCCTATATGTAATGTAAGTTTATGAGGTGGGGGAAATATGTCTGTTTTGTTTGCCAGTAGATTCCTAGAATTTAAAGCAGTCAGTCATCTATAGGTCTCGATAAATACTTTTTGGGTTAATAAAATTAATTTAGACCACTGTCACCGGTGGGCCTTTCCCCTTCAGCAGTACAGGAGCTATATGCCTATGCACACCCTCCATAGTCCTGAGGACTAGCCTCCCCAGTATCCATTACTGCCACTAGCAACTTTACTTTCTTCAGTGTTGGAGCCACCTTATACCCATGCACGCCCCCCAAGGCCTGAGGATCAGCTTGCCTGGGGCCCATCACTGCTGCCCTCAGTGACCCTACTCCTTCCAGTGGCTGAGCTACTGCACACCATGATCACCTATCAGGGGCCCAAGGACTGGCCTGCCTGGCACACCAACCCTCAGCAAAGCCCTTCCTCAACTTCCAAAACCAATTGCAGCATAAACCACGGGAGCACTCATAGACACTGATGACATTGATTATAGGTGAAGAAATCATAGATACTACAATACTTCACCCAGAAACAAAGCTAAGGCACTCTACTCAACCAACCTTAGAGGATACATCTACAGGAAAAATTCTTTCCCTATGAAAGCTATGCCATAAAATTGGAAGAAGCAACTATTCCACTAGATGTACAGATACCAATGTAGGAACACAAGAAATATGCCAAAGCAAAGAATTATGTTACTTTCAGAGTAGCACAATGATTCTTCAGTAACAGATCCCAAACAAAAGGGAATCTATAAAATGTCAAAAAAGGAATTTGAAATATACATCTCAGCAAAGTATGAGAGAACACAGACAATTCAATGAAATCAGGAAAATAATTCATGGTCTAAATAAAAAAATTAACAAAGAGATAGAGATGATAAAAAAGAAAGAAACACAAGTCTAGAAACTAAAGAATTCAATGAAGAAAATAAAAAATATAATTGATAGCTTCAACAATAGACTAGGTCAAGCAGAAGAAAGAATTTCTGAACTTGAAGACGACAAGTCTTTTGAAATATCCCTATGACAAAAAAAAGTAAACAAAAAGAGAGAAAGAAAAAATAATTTAAAAATGAAGATTGAAAAAAGCCTTTGGGTTATATGGGACAGCATTAAGTAAAAAATTATTCACATTACAGGAAGTCCAGATAAGAAGAGAAGGGAAAAGCCATAGAAAACTTACTTAATGAAGTGATAGCTGAAAATTTTTCAAGTTTTTGGAGAGAGACACACACATCCTGATACAGGAAGCTCACAAATT